TACATGTGTATATATATATATGTCTGTATCTATATATATATATAATATATATATATACCTATGTATATATATATACATACATACATACATACATACATACATACATACATACATACATACACGCGTGTCATATGCACATATATATACATATACATATATATATATATTATAGAGAGAGAGAGATCGTTCGTAACGTAAGGCTTTGTACCAAGTCTACTAAGACTAGCATCTAGCCAGCATGCAGCTTTGGGTTACTAGCCGTAGCCGGAAGTCTTCAAGTGTTGTTTTGGGTTCCAAGACTTTGCAGCAGCATGCAAACATCTGAAACTTCCGAAACGTCACAAGGTTTTGCGCTTTCAAGTTGAAGGGAAAAAGATGAAGGGTATACAGCGCCTGCTAGGCCGCAAGGTCTGAGGGTTTTGAGTATAGGGAGTTTCTTCAGCCTACACTCTCGACGTTCAGCCCCATGCCTTCAACCCTGAAGCCAAAATCATTCCAGAGCTCTCAACGCGAAGGGAGGTGGAAGTTTGAGGCGTGGCCTGGGTTTGCCATTTTTGACATTTCCAAAAAGCTCCCGCTGCCTCCATCCGTAAGACCTAGGACCACCAAGCCGAAAACCTCAACTAAACCCCGAAATCCAAGGCCCAAGCCCTAAACCCTCGAACCTCAAGGCCTAAGGGCCCCACTAACAACCCCCAAGATCCTATAGAATTTAGGGTTTAGGGTTTCGGGTTTTATAAAGTCCAAAGTCTCCAGATGCTTCTGAAGCACTTGGGATGAATTATCCAAGAATCACCCCATGTGACCACAGCGCCCGTGCTCAGAAGCGCAGCGAAGGCACCCCAGGAGGCCTCGGGGCTTTGGCTAAAGGAGGTTTTAGGGTTGAGGTGTAGGTAGGGTCCAGGGTATAGGGCTCAGCTTGTTGATGCTTTTTTCGTGCATTAGTCGCGTTTTCTTAAAATCAAATCAAACCCCAAATCGATGTAGGCTGAACCCAGCAGCCTGGATCTGCTTCACTTCCTTCAGCTGCTCCCGCACCGGACCACTATCTCCAGCATAGTCCGGATGTCCCCACGACACGACCTGAGGGGCTAGTATGGGGTTTCTTTAAAATAGACAGGCTTTCAAAATACCCATAGGCTCCATAGTAGTTCCTTTTGAGGGTTCATATATAGGATCCTAAAATAAGGTAATCCCAAAAAGGAACTACTTTGGAGCCTATGGGTTAGACTGTACTCGTTGTACTCTGCCTTCTCTCAGGTCCGCTTCTGGCCTAGGGTCCCGAAACAACGGGCAGGCAGCATCACAAGAACCCCCTTTTTTGGGGGAATGGACGGACGAGGCGCACAACCCAGGGCTCTGGAATCTAACCAGCAAGGCCTGGGGCCTCAAAAATTGGAATAGGGCTTTCGGGGTATAGGGTTAAGGGTTTAGGGTTTAGGGGAACATGATAATTGAAAACTCAAAAAGCCTTCTTTTGACGAAACGTTCCGGCTCTGCTAGGGTGTTGAACCGAATCTAGCTTCTGTGCTTGTGATCTACGGTGTATGATCTAAACCAGAACTCCTTCAAACGTCCCCTGAAAGGCCCACATCACGCCCATGAGAAGGACTGCTCTGAAGCCCCCAACCCGCCCCCCCCTGGATCCACCTCAGAATCCACCCTTTCCCCCCAGCCTCCCCCACCCCCCCCACCCCCCAAAAAAAAATAAAATCCCCAAACACATCCTGGGTCAAAGGGCAGATCCATCTTCCCGCAGCGCCGCAAAGGCCAGCCGGGAAGCCTGGATCTCCCGCACCTCAAACGGCGAGATGAGAAGTAGAAAGAGCCTAGCGGCTTCTGTCTAAACATTCTAAGTAGGGTTTAGGGTTTAGGGGTCTCTAAACTGTAACAGTAGGGATTCCTAAGGGCTTCAAGAAAGGGTAGGTTCACAAACTTGGGGGGCGCTTCGAGTTGTTCGGTGTTCGGGGGCTGCTGACGGTTTGGGGTCCAACACTTTCGATGCGGTATCTGAGGGTTCAGGGGCTGGGGTTTACAGCTTACAGATGCTTCCAAGATGTAGTATTTACGGGCATCCTTGTTCTCAACATCAAACCCTGAAGTCTCAAGCCCTTCAACCCCAAAGTCCGAAAGTCCCTCAACGCCAGAGTCCTAAACTCTAAACCCTGAACCCTGCACCCTACCATCCTAAGGCCTAAACCTTCACCCTGCTACACGTTCATGCCGTTATCAATGCTTTTGCTGGTACTCCTGCTGCTGCTGCTGCTACTGCTGCTCCTAGTGCTAGTGCTACTACTACTACTACGACGACGACTACTACCACTGTTTTGTACGACTGCTATGGACTGTTATTGCATTTACACCTGCGGGATGTAGAAACCTTCAACCTTGAGCCGGCCACTGCGCACTGACCCCCGCCGCCAAACCTGAAGCCTGACAAAAGGTGCCTGGTGCAGTTCACTTCCAACGGCGCTGCTGTCGCCCCCAGCATACTTGTCGCCCCAGGTTACCACAGAACCTCAGACGGCTTAACATTCCATGTTGAACCCCTAACATTTGCAGATCAGTGCGTATTGGGATTCTGGGGCTGAGGGCTCCTGGGTGTGGAAAAATACGTAGTTGCATGGTCTTGTGCCTTCTGCCTAGTTTGCTATCCCGCGCTGCCGAGGGACCCCGACAGTCAAGAAAAGAATGCAAGCTGCGGCGGTCAAGCAAGCACTGCCCCTAAACCTATAAACCCTAAACCCCCAACACTAAGCCCTAGACCGTAGCAGATCTAGCGACCTCAGACCCAAAACCTTAGGATGGCTCTCATGCGCGATAGTGGGACTTCGTCCGTAATGCCACTAGGGTCTTTCAGAAACCCGGGATAGGAAGGATTAGAGAAGAGAGCTTAAGTTATTACGGTCTCGGATGAGCACTTAGGACCCTCCTTTTCCCCCCCTGGCAGGAGCTCTCGGATCTGGGATGGATTGGGCAGAGCTTGGTCGCTTGAAGTCACCAAACTTAAGCGTCTCGGGAACTCTGACCTGAGGGTCTTTAGTTTGGGGATTCCGGCGTCGCTTTAGGGTTGTGACTCGCAGGGTTTGGGGTCAGGGCTTCGGATTCAGACATGTGCTTGCTCTGTACTTAGCATGCTTTCAGAGGAGCGAGACAAAGCCCTAATCGAGTTCATCTTCAGATCTTTGGGGTTGTCGGAACTACAGTGGGGATGATACACCTATGATGTCTATGAGGGAATAATGTTGGGAAGTAGCTGGGCTTCTAGACCACAACTACCCGAAACCGAAGCAGCGGTCAGCGCTGACCCAGGACTCCTCCCCCTGAAGCCCTCAGCGCCCTGTAATGTAGGGGCCTTAGTATTTAGGATAGGTTTTTTTTTTAAGGTGGACATGTGCATATCGGGTTTGGGGTTTAGGGTTTAGGGTTTATCATAATTATAATGAGGAACCCCCAACATAGTATTGGTCATTAATCAGGCCCCAATATTACCCATCCAAGAGACCGTCTGCCAGTCGAGCAGCAAAAGCTCGCTCCGCCGCCTAAAGTGAGCTGGGGTTTGCGAGTGGCTTTCGGCGTTGAGGCTGACCGCAAGGCCTTCTTCGTTCTTGCTTTTGCTCTGTCAGACTTGCTCATGAGATAGGGATGACTGTAACAGGAATGAAAAATCAACAGCTTGCAGGATATAAAAGGTGCAAAGGCTCTGAGAGGATGACGGATGTGCGCAGGCAAGAGATCTCTGTTGCTAAGGGGAATCAAAGGCCTAGGGACGCGGAGATGCCCGGACGGCTAGCCTGAAACCTGGAGCACTCTGGTTGTCGCAGCAAACCGTCTTGTCCACCTTCAACTCGCCGAAAGAAAATGCTGGAAAAATGACAATGCCTGGCCTGAATCTGCTCAACGGCAACAAGATGCTCCTGCACGTCGCTGCTGTCGCCACCGTCCTGCTGGCTGCCTCGACTCGATATGAGCCACTCATTTTAGTCCTCACCCACGGGCTCTTTATGCAGGTCTTCCAGAATAGGCGCACATCATGACTAGCCGTGTCAGCTCTACGACGCCTGCCAGGTACCGGTTCTCGACGTGCAACATCTGACCTAGCTTGTAACAAACTCTGCGCTTCTGTTCCTTTCGCGCATCCGAGTCGCCCCAAGTTACCACACGGCCATCTGCACGTCGGGCTGCAAACGCGTAGTCCGCAGCCTCGTTGTCATGTTTGAGTTTTGCTCATGTTACGGTCACCTGGTCAGCATACTCAAGGGTCCGGAGAAATAGGCTTCATTTTTGGGTTGACTGGGGCCTTGTAGTCTCTTGTTTTCAGCTTGCTGGTAGGTAGGATCTTCAAGCAAAAATCTTTACTGCAGATTGCTGCGAAAAAAATCGAAATCGCTGTTTTCACCAGACCGGGCTGGCCCGGACAAACGAGTCAGCAAATCTGCCGGCGAAGACCTGCAGAAATTGATCGATCGCCTAAACCCAAGCCAGCCTGTATTTCCAGAACATCTTCGAGCTGATCCTGAACGCCGCTGCTGTCGCCACCTGACCGGGGACTGTCCCAATGACATCCCGAAGACTGTCAATGCTTGGGATCGAACATTGAGAATTTCGGTTTTTTAGATCTAGGTTCGGGCTGTGAACTTCAGCCTGAAGCGCTCACGATCTAGGGGTTGAGGGAGGAGGAATCGACACGTCGTTTCGCAACCAAGAATTTCACTTCTTGGCACATTGGGCCTTGGGTCATCTCGCCCCATGTTACCGCAGTCCCGTCCGCACGCAGCAGCGCGAAGGCAGACAGCGTGGCTGCGATCCTTGTCCGTTCAGGTTGATGTGAGCTAAAGCAGCAAGAACTTGACGGAGATGGGCCGGTGTCCTAAACCTGGAGCACCCTAAACACCAAAGCTGTCAACCCAATCCCTAAACTCTAGTGATGTCAAAGAGGCTGATGATTACAGGCTTGACATGGGGAAGTCAAACTTGTGTAGATACTTTTCAGGTGGGGATGATGGGATGCGAAGACATGATGCTCAAGATCTTCATCTTGAAAACTTGCTGCTGAAGCGTTCCTTCGATGTTGAAAAAGGTTGAAATTGAAAGCGTCTGATGTTAAATTTAGTGCGTGAAGAAGATAAGTTGATATTGAACAACTCATGCTACAAGACGTTGACCGAAGATTTCGATGCTGAAAGGCTTGATGTTCACAAGCTTGCCGATGACAAGTTTACCCTTCACCGGCTTGCATTTCGAGTTTCGATGGTATAAAGCTAAGAATTAGGCGGGCTGGGGCGGACTCCTGAAACCTGGAGTTGATGATTGGCTGTTGCTGTATTTTTGATTTGACTATATGTTGATGGGCAGATGTCTGAGTGTGTTGGTGTGCGCGAGCAAATGTTTGCATCCTTGATCTGAAATTTGGCCTGCAAATAAGCGAGTTCCTGAGCAACCTCAACAGCTCTAGCAACACAAATAGCAATCAGAGCAACAACGACCAAGACGACAATACCAATCATCACAAAACCAACGTCAACAATGCTTTTGTTTCATAGCTCCTTGGCCAGCAAAACACGCGAACGAGGATGCTTAGCATTATTCTTGATGTTACTCTCAGCATTACATGTCCAAACCCTACAAACCCTAAACCACAAACGCCACAATCTGCAAGTGGCGAACCCCAAGCCAGGAGGGGCTTCGATCGGGGGATTAGGACAGGCGCCGTCCGGAGGGGCCATCGTCTTAACGGCAGAAAAGCCTCGGATCTTAGGGTTTTGTTTGCTTGCAGGCCCCTTTTCCCTGCCAGCAGTAGGTCAGAAAGAGTTCTAAGCAGCCAGGGGTTTAGGGCCTACCTGGACCCTGAAGATCCTACCTTTTTAGGGTTCCTTGTTATGATTTCCTTATATAAACCCTTGAAAAAGTAGGTTCTTTCGGGTCTAGGTAGGGTTTCAGTGTTTGAGAAGGTTCAGGCTTTCGAGTTTAGGACTTGCATGGGGCTTCCAAATCTTAACCGTTCGAAACCTCCTTCTGAGCTGAAACAAGCCTACCTAGAGTCTCCATTGCAGTTCCCTTTTTTTGTTTAACCCATTCTATATTTAGGATCCTATAAAGGTAACCCCCAAAAAGTAACTACAACGGGGACTAGAGGTAAACTACCCTAAACCCTGCAAAGCCCTAAACCCTAAACTCTAAACCCTGAACCCTAGACCCGAAACCCGAAACCCAAAAACCCTAAACCCTACACCCTAAGAACCTGCAAAGCCCGGACTGCCAGCAAGGCTCTGAGGCTGCCTCACTGCCGCGGTCAGCACGTCGCCATGCTTCAAGCCCACCTCCACTTGGGAACATTGGGAGTTCGGATTTAGGGTTTAGGGTTTAGGATTTAGGATTTAGGGTTTTGGGTTTAGGGTTTAGGGTTTTGGGACATTGGGAGTTAGGATTAGGGGGACCCTTGGGGACATAGGCCTTCTCACTAAAGGTCCCTTTGAAGAGAGCCAGAAGTAGGGTCAAAAAGGGTCCCCTTTAAGGGGTCTCCCTCAGGAGGATTTGAGTTGAGGCGATTGCGTTTTGCGGTGCATGTTGCTGTTTCAGATTCTCCCCTAAATCTTCAGGCCTCGCATCCGTAGGACTTGTATAAACCCTAAACCCTCAACCCTAGGGCCAACCTTAGCTTAACCTTAAGATGGCTTGTTCTGGCTCTACGAACCCAGCGGGTTGAAGATTTAAAAGCACCCTGCCTGCACCCACCCGATGACACGCTCACAAAGAAACCTGAAAAGCTGCATAGCCTTTACGGTTTAGGGTTTATAGGGTTTATAAGGTTTATAGGGTTTAGGGTTTGTAAGGGTTATATGGTTTATAGGGTTTAGGGCTTATAGGGTTTATAAGGCTTATAGGGTTTATAGGGCTTATAAGGTGTATAGGGTTTAGGGTTTAGGGTTGCTTTCTGAAGTTCGCCTCGCCGATGGTCGACAGCTCTGGGAGGATCTTGCCCGACGAGGAGACGAGCTGGCAGAGGCCTCGTCTAAGCTGATGGCATCTGCCGACTTTGGGGGGTTTCCGAAAATTGGGGACCCTAATATAGCACCCCAAATAAAGGGATGCTTATTATAAGGACCCCTAAAATAAGGTACCCTAATTTTCGGAAAGCCCCAATTTGGGGGTTTAGGGGTTGTGGGTGCAAACGCTTAAGAGGGTTTAGGTTTAGGCGTCTATAGAGTGTTCAGGATGTCTGGGTGTAGGCTTGTTCTGCTGTCTGGGCTCAGGCTCTAAAGGCTTTCGTAATTTCAGAGCAGCAGAGTTCACGGTGGTCCGTGTAGCTCACAGACATATAAAAGGGTGCATCTACTCAGAACGTCAACTCCACAAACCTGCAGCATGCAAGCGATTAAACGCAAAGGGCAGCGGCGTACCCTGCACACCCAAAGCATTCGTGGCCCACGAAAATAAGTGTGTAGGGCCTGCGAGGCTTGGGGCTCATGGCTTTGACGTTTGTACCATGGTGCGGGATTTGCAGTAACCCCCACCCTCCAGCGACACGACTCACAAAGGCTTCGGCCTTCGCTTCGAAATCATCTACTATCTACGGATACGTCAGAAACAGCTCTGCCCCTTTCTGGCCTCCTTGTCAGGGCAGGCACTTGTCGAGCCATCCGAGTCGTCTGGAAAACAAGCCTAAAAAGCCACAACTCGCATCGTCATCGTGGAGTGGCGCTTCCACACCTGCCCTCATGGGCACTGGACATTAGCCTTACGGCGGCATTCGTCCTTACTCCCACTCCTCGACATGGCCAAACTACTTCCGACGTTGGTGTTTGCTCTGGAACTGGCAACCCTATCTATATGCACACCATTTGCTACGTATTTTGTTGCCGTATGTGCATTTTATTTTTCTTCTGAGCATGTCGAACGACGTTGTGCGTGTCTGGCTGCCGTGAGCGCGATGGTGAAAACTTCCGAAAGGAGAAAGCCTAAAACCTCAAGAGACCCTAAGCGCTAAACCCTAAACCCCTAAACCCCTAAGCCCCTAAACCCCTAAACCCTAAACCCCTAAAACCTAAACCCTAAAATCCTAAAACCAGAAAACCCTGAAACCCTACGCCCTGAAACACCAAACTCTCGAAGGACAACCCTGGTGCTAAAATATCGCAACAGCCCGAGCGCTCTATAACTACGGTTAATGATGATAAAAATCCTGCATTACCCATAAAAAAATTAAAAAGGAATATACCATAATTCCTATACTATACCCTAAACCCTAAACCCTAAACCCTAAACCATAATTCCTATACTATAGTTTAGGGTCCTTAAAGACGTCTTCAGCAGCTCTGAACCTCCCAGGAAGAAGTGGAAAAAATCCTGAAACCGAACCCCGACAGTCCCAAACCCTGGACCTGAAACCCCTAAACCCTAAACCCCTAAACCCTAATTTAGGGTAAAAACCCTAAATTAAACCCCTAAACTCTAAACCCTAAATTAAACCCCTAAACCCCTAACCCCTAAACCCTAAATCCTAAACCCCAAGACCCCTAAACCCTAAAGGTCCTGAGGCTCGGAATGGGAGCCCGAGAGCCCAAAACCCCAAGCCCTAAAGCACAAAAAATCTCCGAACCCTCAGCTCCGAGACCCTCCTTTCACGAATCCTCCCTACAGGGGCTCATGAAGAAGAAAAGCTTTGGGGCTACATTGTCATAGAAGCAAAGAAGCCTGAGGAGTTTGGCATTTCTCTCTTCGTTCCTACAAGAGTCTAGGTCTCGCACCCACACCGAGCTCCCGCTGCGCGCGGTGCCGGAGGCTTTGCATGGTCGCTGACGGATCCACAGGAAGAAGGGCCTCGGGAAGTGTCGGCTTCGGGTAAGTTTGAGTTTAGGGGTTTGGGGGTTTAGGGGTTTAGGGCTTACAGGTTCAGGGGTTTGGGGTTTAGGGGTATCGGTTTAGGCTTGGGACTTGGGGTTAAGGTTCAAAGCTTGCGGTTAAAACGGTTAAGAGTGCAGGGCTTCAGCTTTGAGGCCTGGGCCTTGGGCTTTCAGCCTGGGGTCCTGCAGGGTTAGGTTCCCAAGGTATTGATGTAGGAGTGTCGATTGCTTCGAAGTTTTTTGGGGGGAGATTGGGAGCAAACTGACGGAGTTCGAAGTGTAGAGCCGAGGGCCGGAGCTACAGTTTCATGTCGGCGGCTGAAGTTTTGAGCCGTGATGAGTCGAGCACTACCACTGGCTGTAATAGTACGAGTTGCGCTAGCAGTAGAAGTAGCACAAGCAGCCGAAGTACTGGGCATGGTAGTCGTCATCGTGGTCGTTACCATAGTCGGAATCGTAGTAGTCGTAGTCATAATCATAGTCAGTGACATAGTCATAGTCGTGGTCATCGTGAGAGTCGCAGGAGCAGGAGCAGCGGCAGTGGCAGCAGTACATCTCCTTGACTTCGATCTGGTGCCCGAGCATGAACCGTCAACACAGAGATCGGAGGTCTAGAGTTTCGAGTTTAGGGCTTTTGGAATTGTGATGACCGTCCTTTTTTGTCAGAGTTTAAGGTCATAGACTCAAAACCCTACCCTGCAACCAGGCATCTTGTTGAATTAACCCATAGAGGAGGGTTTGCAGATTTATTTTCCTACAGCTTATGTAGGCTAGGGACAACAATCTGTAAAGCTTGTGGAAGCTTCTGCATACTTTCCAGAGCTTGTGTAGGTTATGACGCACCCTATCTCCTCCCAAAATCATCCTTGCCTGCCGGCCGCTCAAGAGCGACACCCCGATGCTCATCGACATGGGCTCAAGGGCGTGAAACCGTGTGCCCTAAGCGGTTGGTGACCGGGAGGTGGGCCAGAAAAGTCTGGCAAGAACTATTTTCCCGTGCTTTTTCGATGCCTTTGTTCTACCATCGTAAAGTCCCTACAGTACGAACTTAAGCAAAGTAGCCAGACCCTGAAACGGACAAACCCTCACCCTGGCTTAGCGGCTTTTCTACCTTGAGTGTAAGTTCGCTGCAAGCCGTGCAGAGGGTCGGGCGGTACATGAACCACGGAGTTAGACACGACACCAGACAAGGCAGAAAGGCCTCTCACAGTCGTAAGTCTTTTAGTTACAGTTTTGGATGTACATGTGTGTGTGTGTGTGTTTGTTTGTGTGCGGGGGCGTATGTATGTATGCACGTGCGTACGCACGTAGGTGGGTATGCATGCATATGTGTGCATGTATGTAGGTATGTATGTATGGATGTGTGTGTGTATATATTTATAAGTCTACATACAGAAATGCACGCATGCGACACAGATGCATGTGCACGTGGGTACGAGTAGGTAAGTCGGCAGATCCGTCGGTCTGTCTGTCAGTCCGTCGGTCCACGGGTCCGTCGGTCGGTCGGTAGGCAGGGAACTAAGGTGTATGCAGGTATGTATGGTCCATCTTTACACAATTCATACAGCAATTCACGATGATTCGGTGTAGGCTTCAGCGGCCCTTAGATAGTAGGATCCATAATCTGAGGGATGCCCGAAAACCCAAACCCTAAAAGCCTCCACATGAAAAAGCAGAGCATGGCACATCGCGGCGGACAGCCCGATACAAAAATTGCAGGATGGTTGTACCGGCTCTCGGGTTGAGGGCTTGGGGCCCTCTTGCAGAACTTGAACTCTACATCTTCGCGTAGCCTTTCGAGGTTGCAAGCAGGCATAGATAGGACAGAGAACGGCAAGATCACGAAGTGCGAACCATGCAATGACCAGCTTATCAGGCAGACAAATGCAAGCCCTAAATCCAAAACTACCACAAAATCTGCTTACCCACAAGCCCGCAGCACTAAGCTCTGACTAGATCACTCGGTGGCGGACAGAGAGCGATGTCCTGACTCAGGGACGCTGCTATGCTATCTCGCGGACCAGGTCCTCGTAGAATGCGCACGCAAGGCCTACATACTTGAGGAATCAGGAAGCCAAGTAAACGCGCCTACAGGAGGGTTACGATGTGGGTAGCCATTGGAACGGATCACGCAGAACCACACCTCCTGTGTCCCGGGTCCTTGAAGCGGAAAGCCTCTCTTTGAACCATTGAAGCATGAGCATAGAGGGCCGAACCACGAGCCGTTTTATGGCTTCGAGCCCAACCAACTGGGATTCTAGAACCCACATGCAGCAGCTGTACTCAATACGTGAAACAATATCATGACAACACAAAGCCAGAAATCACCCCAAAACCCAAAACAGGCATTCCTCTGAATCGTGGTCTCTTTAAAAGCCAATCTCATGCAAAAACGACATCCCTCGAACAACAAGAGTTACCTTCGCGTTCGAGCCGTAGCAACTTAACTCTAAAACTCTAAGCTAAAAAGCTTCAGGTGCCTACAAGGGACTTTAAGACTTGACGAAGATTCCTCTATCTTCCCTGCATATTCCATGCCGGCACCTTCCGAAACCCTAAACCCTAAATCGCAGACCAAACCCCAAAACCCTGAACCCCACACCCAAACACCCTGAGCACTAAGCCCCACCATCCAACCCAACCTTCCTCAGGCCTCCCCTTCTTGAAGAGGACGCCCAGGGCCAAGAAGTGGCGCAAATCCTCGGTTTGGAGATCCGGGGCCTGAGGGCCTTGAGCTTTAACAAAAACCTCCGATTTGCGGGTGTGTATACTTCGGGAGTTCTTAAGGTTCAGGGCTGTAGTGTTGTAGGGTTTCAGGGTTTTGACACAGTGTTTCCGTTTTCCGGGTGCAGTAGTCCCACTTTGGGGTTTTAAGGCTTTAGGATTGTAGGGTTTTGGTGCTTGAAGGCTTCAGACTTGGGGTTTACAGCAGGCTCGCGCTTAGGGTTAGAGACAAGGACCTATATAGGACAGTGCGTATATATATGTATATATATATACACACAGGCATGCATAATGTGTAATCTAATCTTAAATAATATAGCAGACATAGCATAATGAAATATACTGTAATATGATTAGCCAACAAGGGTTCTCAAGGCCATGGTCGCCACAGCAGTGGCGGCATCGCCGTGGTCGCTGTCACCAGCGACCATCCCACAGAAAAGAGCCAGGAACCATCTTACACCAAGGAGGGCTAAGGCACCTGTAGATTCCGCGATGATCAAGTTTGCGTCGCTGGAGCTCCGAAAAATAAGGTCTCCAAGTAGTTGCAAGGTCATCATCTTGAACGGCTGTGCAAACTTGCATCGCTCGAGGTCAGGCTTTGCAGTCCGTGACTCTGCCATGGCCATCCTTCTCATTTCGCAGAAAGCTTCCCTTTAAAGGCTGATGTTCCACGAAGCTCTACCACCACCGAAGGACAATTGCTCCTGACAGAGCTCCGTGACGAGTGTCTTCGTACAGCCACTCCTCCACCTTGAGAATGCCACTGCTAGGGCAACCATGTTCACAACCTGAACCGTGAGCACTACATCCAAAGCCTCAAAACCCTAAACTCCAAAACCTTCAACCCGAAAAAAAACTATAGAACCCTTAAAGCCTTGCAGGACCCTTTCTAGAACCCTCTCAGAATCCTCTTGACCCCAGAGCTGCCGCCTCGTCGTCCGCCAGCTCGGCCAGCAGCACGTGGCGCTTCGAGCCCTGTGGGTCTCTGGGATAGGGTCTCATAACCCTCTATTAGGGCTTAGGGCTTAGGGTTTAGAGGGTTTGGGTTTAGCGCTTAGGGTTTAGAGTTTAGGGTTTAGGGTTTAGAGTTTAGGGTTTAGGGGTTTAAAGGTTTAGGGTTTGAGAAACCTGAAACCCTAAACCCTAAACTCTGAACCCTAAACTCCTAACCCATGTACGTACAGGGTACCGTCTCTCAACAAAAAGCGGTCTAGGGAACAGAAGACCTGGGGGGTTGCTAAGCTAGAAGGGATACTACAAGTGATTCAATAAGGGTTGCAAGAAGCCTGTTTCACGGGGACCTACGGAGGTTCAAGACGGGTGATACAACTGGGGTTTAAGATATAGGTTCTGGGGTTTTAGGGTTTAGGGCTTGAGGGTTTAGGGTTTAGGGTTTTAGGGTTGAGGGTTTAGGGTTTGAGGTTCTGGAGTTTTAAGCCTTTGGAGTTGGGGCTTTGGGTTGAGTGCGGCTCTCAGGAATTAGGTTTACGGGATGGTGTGGGGACAGGTCTGCGAGTGTAAGTAGTCCCCAATCAGGCTGCGCCGTGGCTGCACTGTTTATGGATCCAGGCATTCCACAACTACACTGCTGCAGCGCAGCATCACGGCAAAGCTTCATACTCAACCCGGCATCCTAACCCCAAGCCCTGACTGTCCGCGGAGACTCCCAAACCTCCCAAACCCATAACCTTCAATGTTATATAGCCAAATAGAAAACTCGCATGGGCAAGCCTGCGGAACGGTCCCCACGGCCACGGCGTGCCGTGGCTCCTTGGTGGAGGACTTAGAGGGCTTCAAGGTGCAAGGCTCCAAGGTGTTCGAGCTTCCACTGCAGATCCGGGCCTTTTTTTGGGTTTGCCAGCTTAGGGTTTAGCGGCTATCGGGTGTATGGCTTAGGGGTTTCGGGTTGCTTTGGGTGCCTGAGCTTGGCCTTCCTGGAGTTTCTGGTCTTGGGGGGGCATACAGAAAAGATTATGGTCTCGGCTGTTCTGCCTGGGGGTCTTATCCAGACTTACAAACTTTGGGATTTGACGATCATGCTCTGGGGGTGTCCGGGCTTGGCTCGCCGCTAGATCTTCGAAACATGTTGCGGAGTTGTGTTGGGATCTGGAGTTTCTGAAACTACACCAGGTGCCACCCACCCCAAGTTTTCAGAGTGCTATTGAAGATTCCTACAAATAGCATGGAATCTCCTCCTTGTGCGGTACGGAAGGGCCAAACAGCTCAACAAAGGAAAAACAAGAAAATTGA